AGAAGGTTGTAGTAGGTAACAAGGCAATGAATATTATCTCTCATTTTGAAGCTTAAGCTTTGTGTATTTGTGTGTTTATTCCCTGAATTGGGAAAACACTCAAGCTGTGTCCGTTTCCCTGTCGATCCACTGCATCACTCTATAGTTTGTATAAAAAGAGTATTTGTATCTCCTCATTATGGAAATAAAAAATGAGATAGATTTGATCTTTAACAAGAGTCATGCCAAACAGAGCAGTCATTTCTGTGCCATATTCATCCTTTGTTTAACTAAGAACTACATTTCTACAACTTTTTTCTGTTAAAAAATCTGAAAAAAAAAAACAAAGGAAACAAATTAAACAACCATGGAAATACGCCTGAGAGAGCATTATAGTTACATCAGCAGCTCTGTATTTCCCTGCATTAGATTAAGATAAAGGTGTTTCAGAAACGAATTCAGTACAGAGCCAAGAAAGAGCTATACAAATCATAAAGGCACAATTTTTACATCATATCAAGAACTCTAGACATCCTTGATCATCTTAATAGGATTATGTCGGCGACTGCTGCTCGCCGGCGGCGATGCTGTGCATCCTCTTGCCTGAAGGCTGCATCATGAGCTCATCGAGTGCACCAAAAAACAGCTTTTTTTAATGGAGCCCAGCATGGAGGAAACAAACTCAGGCTGTTGCTGTTCTCCGATGAAGAAATCGCCGCCTTGAACAAGCTCGGAGTTTTCACCGGCGCTTTCCGCCTTGGAAGCAGAGTCCATGAGATCGCCCATCAGCTGGCAGTCGCTTAACTCAAAAAGGGTGTTTCTTTCTTTTCCGGCATACTGCTGCTTTAATTCGTGCTGTGCCGGAGACTTGATGAATAACGAGGCTGCCGCCGGTGGCGGCAACGGCTTCTCGTCGCATTCCGACAGGAGGCTGCCCTTATGCCTGACTCGGCAGAGAACCCAATCGTCGAGCTGAAATTGATCAAGAGAAAGAGTTAAAGAATATTCAATTCCCCTGTTCTATAAAATATTAAGATATTCGCAGAATTATTACTCGCATGGTTCCCTTATGCTTATGCTGCATAGAAGTAGTGGAGTGATCAAGTAGACGATATTCATTCATGATCCAATCAGTCTTGCCGCCTTTAGGCGGCCGGCCTCTGTAAAATACCAGAGCTTTCTTAACGCCGAGGCAATGGTTGCCATTAGCGGCCAGTATAGGCTTATCAGTTCCCGTTGCCTTCCAGAATCCACACGCAGCCGCACGGTTTGGCCGGAGGCCATTCGGGTACTTGCGATCCCTTGGACTGAAGAAGAACCATTCACCCTCACCAAAAACCGCTTTTTCTGAAACCAAAAAACACAAATTTTTAGTCATCAAAATCAAATTTTTTTAGTCGATTAATGGATGCCAAATAAAGGAAAGGGTAAATACCGGGAAGCTCCCATGGGTTGAACTTGTAGAGATCGATTTCTGCAATAATGGAAGAATATGGAGGGAGGGATGACGTTATCTTCTTCCTCAGGTAATGGATGATAAGCTCTTGATCTGTGGGGTGGAAGCGGAAACCTGGAGGGAGTAGAGAGCCATTTAAGGATCCACTACCTTCCATCATGGATTAAGGTTGAGAAGATGGAGAAGAAGATTGAAATGGGAGAGAGAATTTTATAGAGAGAGAACTGGATTCATTAAAGAGGAGATTCCTGAATGCCATAGGCGGATACCACAAGGCAAGCTTTTTGTTTTGAGTTGAGCTTCGCGTTGGATGTCCCAAAAAAAAAAAGCTTTGCGTTGGAGTTACATGCGGATGCTCAACGTAAAGAACTATATAGATGATAGACCTGTGATTTGATTTTATTGAATTTGTAATTCTCTTTGGGCCCCGCACTATAATACTGGCAAAAATATCAAGCAAAAATTTTATTATTTTTTATTATTATTTTTATATATTGTAATATAAGAGTCATAATAAAATTCATTTACCCAAATAGCAAAAAGTTTATGAATTCTCTTGATGACGGGATGTCAAAGAGAATAAGGAGGGAAAATAGAATGTGAAAGTATGAAGATCATAATTATATTTTATAAATTAATACATATTTCTATTCTAACCCAACATTAAATTAGAAATATGTGATTCGACATAATTAATCTTAATGCTCAGACCCTATTTCCTTAATTTTAATTAGAACATATTAAAAGGACTACACTTTTATTACATTTTATTAATTCTTTTTCAAGAATCTCCCACTTGGACCACATATATTCCTAATAAACTATTTCCATAACTTTATAGCTAAAAGTTTTACAAACATGTACCGGAATAATCTCAAACATTTGCTTATATTAACATAGGATCAAAACAATCTTCATTACATTTAGTTCAACTAAATATATCAATGGTTATGCGGGTATTGATATAGCCAATTGATCTTGATCAAATATGAATGTGTAGCATGAAAATTAAATGCAATGTAATATAAACATGCATAGTTCATACTAGTCAAACTTTATTCCTTACAAATACTCAAAAGAATGTTATTTCTATAAAGAATATAAGTGGTGTCAAAATAAGTTTTTAGGTTGGGTTTGAGTCAAATTCAAAATTGACTTACTCGTAACACATTCAGCACGAAACAGGCTCGACATGACCTGCTAACCCGGATGAGTACCTTTGCAACTCGGACACCAGAGTTTATGATTTTGAAGATAATAAATATTATTGATTACCTCTTTAATTCTCCTAGTATTTGTAGTGCATATTTTTTATATGTTAACTATTATTTCAGGTACAACATACACTGTTATTTGAAGATTTAGGGCTCAAAATGGGCTAGGATAGGTTATGCTAAAGAGTCTATTATTTTTATTTATTTAATTTTAATTTTTTGAGTCAAATATTGCAGGGGTGTATGTTAGCCTGGTATATAATCGTACACTCACATACAAGGGGAGTAAAAATAATTTTAAATATTTTAATTTCTTGTATGTTGTATTGTACGATATTGATCATATGTACT